CAAGGTAATCCATTTTTAAGCAGTAGAAGTAGAAAAGACTGATTATGAGCAGCCAGTGTGAATTTACTATGAATAAATTGTGCCAAACAAACTAGATTTACTTTTTTGACAAGATAACTTGTTGGGTGGAAGAAGAGAATGCAGTTGATAGTGTATTTGGTCTTCAGCTTGTGACAGAGTCCTACTTGACCTACTTACAATCAAACTGGAGAAATGTGAGCTAGACAAAATTACTATAAGATGGGTAAACAACTGACTCAGTAGCCGCAAGCAAGGGGTAATAATGAATGGATCCATGTCAGAATGGCAAGAGGTTTTGAGTGGAGTCTCCCAGAGGTCTGTTCTGGGCCCAGTGCTGTTCAATGTGTTTTACTAATGATTTGGATGCTGAAATGGAGAGCTTCTTGAGCAAATTTACAGATGACACAAAAGTGGAAAGAATTGCAAACATACTGGAGGACAGGAGTGCAATTCAGAAGGATCTTGAGAGCTTGAAAAGGTGGGCTGGAGCTAACAGAATAAAGGTCAATGCTGAGAAATGCAAGGAGCTGTACCTTGAAGAACAATAATTAAAAAAAATGTGTGGCACGTTGCTGGTTGGCAGGACTGTAAAGAAGGATCTAATAGTCTTGGTGGATCACAGATTCAGTATCAGTTTGCCGTGTGAAGTAGCTGCACAAAAATAATAAAGGATTTAGAAGGGAAGCCAAATGATGTGAGTTTGAAGGAAATAGTCATGTTTAGCTTGTGGAAAAGCCGTTAAGAGGGAACATGACAGCAGCTTCCAAATACTTGAAGGGCTCCCCTAAAGAAGAGCGAAAACACTGTTTCTCTTTTTTTGCAGAGAGTAGGACACAGACAGTGGCTTGAAGTTGCAGCAAAGTAGATTTAGATCAGATATTAGGAAAATCTTCTTCACTATTAGAACAGCAAGGCAGTGCAATAGTTTTTCTCCTCCTCCCTGCCACCTCCCCCAGAAGACAGTGTGTCTGTTTCTTGCTGGACTCTGCTGTTGCAGCAGAAAGCAGAACATGCCCCCCTTCACAATCCCCACATTGTGCTGGAGGAAAACACAGGCTGACAACTGGCTAGCCCAGACTGCCCATCAGGGCTGCCCTACGTACTGCTGCCATCTGTTGTTAGGCGTACTAAGGGAGCCTGCAGAGTATCTAATGCTATAAAAGCCTAAGTCTGTCTGTCTGTCCATAATGCTTTATTTGCACTCTGATTGGCTGATGGAAACAGACAATTGGAGTGCTCCGAGCATGGGGGAGTGCCATCATGATTCCGAAGTGGTGCTGAGGACCAGGCAGGGGGTGGGGGAGCTGTGGCCAGCGGTGCTGGCCTCAGCTTCCCCACCCCGCTCCCTGCAAGAGGCAGAAGAGTGTCAGCATGGGATGTTAGGTGGTGGCACTGCATCCCAGCCCCCTTCCTCCCCCCCCCACCCCCCCGGTCATTCTTGACAAGCAGTTGGCTAGTGCTAGAATATGTACACAGCCCTGTCACCCCTCTGCTGCAGTATTAGCACTGCAAGCTCTCCAGTCTTCAGGGCCTCAACATTTGAATATCTGTACATGGGGCTTTGAGTAAGTTTTTCTACCAGGAGAACAAAACCGGGAGAATTCTCTTGGATTATTTGAATGTTTGTGCACAACTTTAGATAAGCTTCTGAGTATCACAGTATCTTCCTCACCCACAACAACTTTTGCCTTTAAGTATTTATCTCTGATGAGAGTAGGGATGTGAATGGTTAAATGCTTACATGTTGATAACTAATAATATCTCACCAGTTATCATTTAGCATGGGGTGGGGAGCAGTTCAGTAGAGAAGAATGGGGGAAAGGGAAACGGTGCAATGTCTCTGAAGGAGGCAGGGCAGGCAAGAAGGAAGGAGGGAGGAGCAAGAAGGGGGAGGAGGGGCTAGTACCTAGTAATGTGGGGAGCCAAGAGGGGCCTGGTCCTTCTTGTGGCAGCGCAGGCCTGGCCCTTTCCCTGCTGTCCACTCTGAGGTGTGCATGCACCTGCCACCAGCAATGAGCTCAACTGGGGCTCCATGGACTCCAGTGTAGCTGCTTGCAGCCTCCCTGCTGCCTACCACAAGCAGCCTGGGTTCTGTGGTTGGCAGCAGGGGCCTGCCTGGAGTCCAGGCTGCTTGCGGCAGGTAGTGGGGAGGCTTCAAGCAGCTGCGCTGGTTTGTGGAGCCCCGGCCTAGCTCATTGCCAGTGATTGGTGCAAGTGTACCTTGGGATGGATGGCAGGGAAACTGCGAGGGGCACGATTCTTCTTGTGGCAGTATAGCCCTGGCTCCTTCCCCATCATCTGCCCCGAGGCACAGGTGTTCCTGCTGCCAGCAATGAGTCAGGCTAGGGCTCTGTGCACCCTGAAGCTCCTGCTCCTGGGCAGCTGGACACCAGTGGCAGCAGTGGGCAAGGGGCTTTCCCAGCTTGCTGCTGCCACCAGCACTTGGCTGCCCGGGGCTGGGAATGGCTGCAGGCACAGCAGCAAACCTCACCACAGTCCCATAAAGCCATGGGCTACTTCAGCAGGTGAGGCGCTTTCCCAGCCCACTGCTGCCACCCAGAGAACAAGTGAGTACAGGTAGGGGCCGATCCCAGCTGAATACATGTTACTGGTTAACTGTTTAACTGATAACATTAGGGGAGTTTAAAAGGGTACTTACTTAATTGCTATTTACATCCCTAGATAAGAGGTAGAGCTATTTAGCCTGTCTGCTGCTGTGAGGCTGCTGATTCAGGAGATAACACACATGCAGTGCACAGCATACTTTGACATAGTGCTGAGTGGGATAGTGAATAGGAAGTATAGTTGTATACTGAGACTTTCCGGGCTGCTTTGTCTCTTGGTATCCTACCCGACATGTTGAGGATAAACCAGAAGCTGGAAGTTGTGGCTGAGCTAGGAGTCTTGGTTTTTGGGAGATGGACTGCTGATTCCTTAAAACAGTCTATCCTGCAAGATGTGGGGGTGCCAGAAGCTTGGATGTCCTGGCTTGCATTAGAATTGGATCTCTTGAGCTCCTGGCTTCCTTTTGGAATGCCTCTCCAGCTGCCTTCCGAGCTTTGGGGATCCTCGATGTGACAGGCCACCAGGCACCTGGCAGTGGAGCCTGGGCGCCTGGAGCTTTTAAGCTCTCTGCTCTCTATCCCTACCAGACAGCTTCTGAAGAGACAGTAGCTTGGAAGTCTGGACTCCCCAGCAGCCAGGTTGAACTGTTGAGGAGCCAGGCAGACGAGCTGGCAGAGAGCCAGGCAGGTTTGAAAACATGCCTGAGTTCTGTTAAAACTCTGAAATCAAACTGTCCCTATGAAACGCTTTGATTATGACAAAATGGCATTCTCTGAAAAACATTCCATCAGAGAATTTTTGGCCGTTCTAAGTTTCAGGAGTTGGAAAGGGCTGAATTCAGTGCCTGTTTGGCCTGCAGAGCATAAATGTGAAAACTTACGAACAGGAGAAAAGTTTCAGTCCTTATATAAAATTAGGATCTTTAATATGCTGAATTGCTCCCCAAAACTCCCTTAAGTCAAACTGACTTAAAAAATGTTGTGCCCCTTCCAAGTTTCTGGTTTTGTTCCTTCATAAAAGAATGAATTATAGGATTCAATTTGTAATACTGCCACCTGAGACCCAATAGGAATGTCAGTGTCTGTCTGTTTATCCAGACTTGCACAGCACTTCTTAGAGTAGAAGCTAAAAATTGCTGTAATTGATCCATTTTTATCTCTCATTCTTGGCACTGTAGGGTATTATATAATAAGGCTTTCCTAGAGATAGTCACAACAATTACTTGAATCTATTTTAAAGAAAAGGCTAAAATCAGTAGGAAAAGAGCTATTAAAAATGACAAGCCAGAGTACAGATAAACATATGGCACATTCCAGGTCAGAAGTGGCTTCATGCTTTTCTACCCCCAAGACATAGTTTGCTCCATTTTGTTAATTTGGTTCAGCCATGAGTTAATATACCTTTTAAAGTGAGGGAATAAGATTGATAACAAATCCCTTATTGCAGGGGTGGTCAACCTACCACATGAATGCCAGAAGTGGCATAGGCAGCCTGTATGTGGCAGGTAGCAGATTGGGAAGGGGATAGACAGCACAGTGGTAAATAGGACAGGAAGCATAAAGCAGAGCATCCAATCAGGTAGGGAGCACAAGGCAGGAAGCAGAAAGGAGAGCAGCAGCTTGGTCAGGGAACAGATACAGAATCATAGAAAATGAGGGTTGGAAGGGACCTCAAGGGGGCTAGTCCAACCCAACTTCCTGGTCAAAGCAGGAATATCCCTAACTAGAGCATCCCAGCCAGGGCTTTGTCAAGCTGGGTCTTAAAAACCTCCAAGGATGGAGATTCCACCACCTCTCTAGGTAACCTGTTCCAGTGTTTCACCACTCTCCTAGTGAGAGTTTTTTCCTAATACCCAACTTAAATTTCCCTTGCTGCAACTTGAGACCATTGCTCCTTGTTCTGTCATCTGCTACCACTGCAAACAGAACATTAGTACTTTAGCAGCCCAGGGCTCTCACTAGGATATATAGTAAAAGCTTTGTTATCCGGCACCCATGGGGAATAGGGGATGCTGGATAACAAAATATGCTGGTTAACTGAAAGGCCTGGACAGGCGTCTTTGCCTGTTCAGGCCGCCGCCTCTCCCACCACGTCTGGGGCGTCGCCACTCCTCCCGCCGCATCGCTGCCCTTCCTGCTACATCGCCGCCTCTCCTATGGGCCCCAAGGGACAAGGAGGCAGGACCCATGCAGGCTGCTATGCCCCGGGCTGTGGGGGCTCAGCGAAACTGGAAGCGCTTCTGGTTTTGCTTTTACCTTTCATGTGGGCTAATAGAGCTTGCCAGCTTGTAAGGTGGTGGATAACGCAGCTTTTACTGTACTACACGTGTCTAAGGGTGGCAATATCCATTCTGTTTCCAAGAGGATTATATAGCAGTTGTTTAAAAAAAAAAGACGAGAAGGGACCCTAGGTACCTGCAGTCTGTTTCTGGCTCTGCCACAGACCTGCTGTGCCTCCAGGCAATTCATTTTACCCACTGTCTGGTTTACTTGGATAAGGTCTTCAGTGTGGTAACTCTTGCTGTGTGTTTTTTATGGTGCTTAAGGAAAGGCACCAGAGACCCAATCTTCTGCTGGAGCCTTATGCACTAGAAATAATAAGAGGAAAAGGACAGACCATTGAGGCTGGATGGACACAACAAGTGAAAGGAGGTCTGAAGTACAGGTGGAATTGAACCTGGCTTGTATAAACATTTTTGCATCACATTAAAAGGAAATTAATACGTAGGATTGCATGGCCTGATTTAACTATCATGATTCCTTGCCCAAATAATGTAACTGGATGTACACATGGCTAATTAGGATATTTCTGTATGCAAGATCACATGTACAAATTAAAGCACAAGTCTTGCACTGTCAGTTGGTAGTCTACTTTTTCTGCTCTCTGAGCAGCTGGAGGGTGCATTTTTTTCTGCCTTCTATACTTTATAAAACTTCTTAACTTATTTCTCCATAGAATATTTTCCCTATCAAACTAGGCTTTTCTACCATAGAATGCTTTCCTTGTTGAACTAGTCGTCTCCCAAACCGTACTTTTAATACAGAAATTGCTGTTATTTAGGGATTGATAATACTGACAAGTGGCACAAGCTGTGCTCTAAGAAACTTAAGCAATTTTCATACATGATTTACAAATAGAATAATAGTTTAAGGCCAGGTCGTGTGCATTTCTCTACCACTTCTATCCTGTTGGTTTCCCCTCTGTTCTCTCTGTCTTGCCTTTCCTTTACCTGAGAGGATTCAAACTGTTGGCAACACTTTTTAAAACTTATTAAATGTACCTAAGGTGGCATTGCAAAGTAGCCAAAACACAGTAAGGTTATTATATGTTTTTAGATTTGAAGGACTTAACTGTGGTTCTGAAGTAGTAAAAAGAGCTGGTAGTATAACTATATGTGTGTTCTATTTCTGTTAGCAAGCAAATGAGAGAGCTGGAAAAGTCAGGAATGCTGAAAGGAACGCTGAGCGCAGAGAAGCAGTTTTCTCTCATCCATGGCTGTTCAGACTTAAAAGAAGCACTAGAGGGTGCCACTTTCATTCAGGTAAGTTAAATACTTGACTGTTCCTAGCAAAAAACAGGTATTTCATCTGGCCTTACTAATATGTTCTAGCCAACCTCAGTTAAAACAGCAAATAAATTTTGATGATTTTAGACCTAAATATTATCTCATAGTTATTAGACTAATTCAGATCAGTATTCCTTGCATCTACTGTATCTCATTTCCTGTAGGACTTAATCCTTCCGGTAGACCATTTCAAAACATATGATATGAGACCAGAAGTCAATTATACTCCAAACTGTGTATATTTTTAAAGTGCTAGTTCAACTGATAGACCATTTTATCTTTTAAGTTCTAATTCTGTTTGCTTTTTTGATTTTGAACAAATACAAAAAATGTTTTAATCAACCATATGCTTCTCTATTTAACATTCTGCATTTATAAACTATTTTTAGGGTAAAATGTTCTATAGAGGACTGTGTAACTGAACTTCAGAGCAAACTAGTAAAATCAAGTGAAACTTTTTGTACTCTCACCTACTTAAGGTTTGGAAATTTTGCTTTCTTGGGTTATAATTTAACCAAGTGGAGTCTCAAATTAATCAGTGGTTTATTCCTGATATATCAAGCAACTATTTAAGTTGGAAAAATCTGTTTGATATAAGTGTTTATACTGTGTCCTTTGCCATATGCAAATATAGATGAGGAGGAGCCTGGAGTTCTCCCTGGCTGCTGCAGGGGGGCAGGCTGGGCAGGAGCAGCCCTAGTCTGAATCACTCCCATCAGAAGCAAATTTGTTCCTGACAGGAGCATGTTCAGATGTGTGTGGGGGATGCAATTTAATGTGCCTGGATTTTCTTCACAGAAAATTTAGATGCATCAATTGCATGTATAGATGCGCCCACTGAACACCAAATGTTCAAAGTTCCTATTTCTTGTTCTGAAGTTTCCCTAGCCTTATTACAGCCTATATGTTATTTGTAGCATTTTGGCATTTGTGAATTTGGTTCTCGATAGTCTTATTGCAATAGAAGTTTAACTATAAACGCACTTTTCCCAATATGCCAAGGTTAGGCATTTCTGTATGGAAATGTGTCCATGTCATTAGATTATTATATCCTTAGTACTCTTTCTCAAAAGGTTAATCTCCCTTTTTTTTAAAGATGATGGACATGGATGAGGAGAAAACTATCATGAAATGTCACATTCCACAAAAACTCTAATGTTGTCAGAGTCAACATATAAAGGATTTTTAAAAATAGCTTACTGAGGAGAAAGTGTTACAAAGTCACAAAATACATATAATTTAACCATGTAGAATAGAAGTTGATGATTAAGAACATGTACATGTGACATCTACAACAGTATTAAAACTACAATATCAGTGCACTCTCAAACACTCATTTAGTTCTGTGTTTTTGTTCTGGCTCTCCTGTAATCAAACTTGTTTTGGAGCACTATCAACATGTCCAGTCTCAGAAGTGGAATATAATTGAACATTGACCAAACTTCTGCCAAAATATGCAGTAGCTCAGATATTCAGAAGAGAAGTGACTGCTGGAAAATCAGCACTTCCAATGAATTACAGGGCCAAGGGGAGCCATGCTGACACAACCTATGAAATTGCATCTGCAAAGTGAATGGCACAGGTCTTCTGTGTGACCCTATCCAGAACCTTCTGGGCAGGAGGGGCAAGGTGGATAGCCAGGTGGCTGAATGGAAGATGGGAACTCTAATTTTAGCAGGAAGATACCTGATTTTTTAAAACAATTCTGGCGCATAATGAAGAAAAAGCTGATGAAAAAGCAATTATCTTCCAGAAACGCACAAGAATTTAGAATCCTGTTCTGAAGTCCTGTCTTTATTTGAACACATTGAGGTAGAAAACCCACCACTTCCCTAAGTAGTTTGTCCCAATGGTCACTCATCCTTATGGCTTGAAAATAAGTGCTTTTTCTAATGTGAATGTCAGGCTTTCACTTCCAGGCATGGGTTCTTGTGCATTTCTTTGCTTGATTAAAGAGCTCATTAATATTAATTTTATCTCACTATGAAGTTACTTGCATATTGCTCAAGTCATTTCAGTCTTTTTTATTAAATTAAATAGCTTGAGCCCTTTAAGTATTCAACAACAGGGCATTTTCTCCAGCTCTTGAATAATTTTTTTATGATTTGTTTTGCTTCATTTTCAATGTTAGCATTTAAAAAATGTGGATGCTAGCATTGTATGTGCTATTCTAGTCTTTTCAGTGCCCCATACTGAGGTAAAAATCCCCTCCCTGCTCTAATATGCTATTTCCCTGTTTCTCTATTGAAAGATCATGTTAACCATGTTTGCCATAGAATTGCACTGTCCTGTAGGGTTGTTCCATCCTCTTTGTAGCACTGCCTGGCCAAACTGATGTCACTCATGAAGAAAATTGCAAAACTGGGTAATGTGGGGTTAGTTAAGTAATGTAGTTTTATCCTTTTTGGGCTCTGTGACTGAAGTTGAACAGGCATTAGTAATGAAGTTACTTGCTCTGAAAAACAAATGGTAGATCTTGAGTACAGTAATCTGATATTTCAGGAACTGGAGCACTGCAGCATATCTTTTAACTGTAGTAAAGTACAAAATGTCTCTGTCAGGATGCTGGCTCTCACTGTACTGAGTTAGTGTTTATCTGTACAGTATCATATGCTAGAGATTTTCCTGCCATTTTAAGAGCTAGTGATTTTTAGCAAGCATCAAATGTCCCATTTATACGTGTTGTTATTACATTTTGGGATATTTGAGTAGTTGTTTTTGTTTCTTTGGTTCCGAGAAGAATTACAGTAGCTAAGATAGGAATTAAGTTGTCATATAAAAAAATGAGTAAGTTATACCTGAACTGTCAGTGTCATGACACAGATCTAGCAAAGCATTCGTTGTTCATAACATGCAAATAGTATATAAATAATAATAAGGTAAATGGCCATGAGCCAAGACCCCCAACAATGCCTCCTTCTGAACATCTATTTCATCAGTCTTTACAAACCCTTACAATGTGGATTTTATAGTGTCTGATGAAGGAGGCTATCACTTATGAAAGCTTATGCCTCTCTGAACTAGTTAGTCTCTAAGGTACGACTCTGCCTTTACTTCTGCCTGACTTTAGAGCAACATGGCCTACTACCTTCCTCTGTGTGGCTCTGTAATAGGTGTTTCTACTAATGCAGTTTGTAGGCCACAGAATGCTGTAGCTATTATTCAGGATCATTAAGCACTTACAAAATACTTAAAGGGTGTAATGGTTGCATTTTTCAGTCATCTTGGTAATTTTTATAAGCTAGTTATTTAGAGTGCCTTTTCAGAGTAGCTCATGAAGAAACCCCATTCCCACTGCAGGGTTTGCCTTAGTTCTGCTGGTTACAGAAGTTGGACTCTTGGGCTGTGTCCGTATGAGCAGGGGCTTGCATTTGCAGCAGCACAAATTTGTGCTGCTACTTTGTGTTGCAGTGCATGCCCCTGCTTGCGCGCTTTGCAGCAGGACACATTGTCCCACTGCTCCATGTGATGCAGAGGGAGCCTCAGTGTGGGGTCTAGCTGGCAGGCAGCCCCCACACTCAGGCACCCTGTGCCCCAGCCAGCTGGGGAGCGGCACGTAGAGACCCTGGGCTGCCTGCTTCACCATCTCTGCATGCTGCAAAGCCCCTGTGCATCAGCCAGCCACTCCCCAGCTGACTGGGGCGCAGTGTGCCTTGAGAAGGGGCAGCAAGCAGGCGGCTCTGGTCTGGCTGCTCCCTTGTCTCTGAGTGCCTCAGGGCAGGGGCTCCACTGTAGAGCCCGTGCACTGAGGCACGTGGAACCCCCATCTCAAGGCACGCTGCATCCCAGCCAGCTGGCTAGTGGCTGGGGGCGGGGGCGGGGGGCGCAGTCCCCCCTGCCAGCTGGCTAGTGGCTGGCTCAGATGCAGGGTGCCTCAGCACAGGGGGTACCCTGCTTTGCACTGCGCTGCTTGGTGGGCTTTGCACTGCTACCGGGAAATCTGGAAAGAGGTTTGCAGTGCCATAACCTGAACGTGCCTGCATGTCTGGATCTGACCTTTTGAGTGCAAGTGTGTGAACATGCATGACCATATTTTTCTATCAAGTTCCCTGTTTTCTTTCTGCCTGTGGTAAACATTTGTATGTACCTGAGTGTCCTTTCATGGTAGTATTCCTTTGTTACTACACCTGTGTTTTTCAGTTTTTTATTCAGTACTTTTGTGGACATTTTTTTATTTAGGTCATCTGATGTTATCTGGTTCCCATCCTTCCTCCAGTTATTTTCAGTAGTTGCATATGAGGTGACATCGCAACATTATGCCTCGTTCTGTTAGCTTACCGGTGGCTCAGTCAGAACAATCTGTAGATCAATCTCTGTCTCTTGTTGAAATATAAGGCCTGTCTACACTTGACATTGTCTCAGATTAAACTTAAGTCATTTTGCATTAAAGAATTTTCTTTCCCCAAACACAAGTGTTGTAGTGAATCATGTGGTATTTGAACATGTGCGTTTAAACGCACTTGGGAAGCAAGTCTGCTGAAGTGCAGGATGGGCTCATCTGCAGCAAAGTAGGGGTGGAGACGTACTTATCCCAAAGTAGCTCTTGAGTATCTCCTAAATCCTCCCACCAGTATCCTACACAGTTTTTCAGGATGCCTGGATTGCATGTTTGTGTGCCCTTGCTGTTCCAGGATCATCCTGACTCACCTGTTTAAACACTGGCACACAACCAGTTACTGTCCTCCTGTGACCCCAGTACTGAGGTTGTCCATATGACTGTCACACTCCTGTGTGTTGAACAGCTATCCCTCGTACTGAGGTTCTAGACTTCATTGTTTTTTGGGAAAGGAATATGTGCAGGCCTATCTGTGCACTGGAATGGCTAGAATTCAGATATATATGTGTCTGTCTGAACAAATGAATGAGGGAAGCGCAACACATATTGAAGCCAGTGCTAAATAAAAGAAAAGAACTTAACCTGGTTGAAAAAAAGTGTAAGGGATGACCATGACTTTTGGAGAACTTGCAGCATCTACAGCTACTTTGAGCTGGACTGTATATTTGCGAGGGAACCTAAAATTAAACCTCTGCGTTTGATGGAGATCACCAAAGAACACTGAAAGCACCCATGGCAGTAATAATCCCAAACCCTCTGATTTCATGACCACTGCAGACACGGAGAAAGACTACTTTCCAAAGACCGAGGAGCTGACAGAATTGCAACCAGGTGGTCCAACTGCATCACAGAGGAGACACACTGCAGGGAATCACTTCCAGTAAGCAGTATATGTTGCTTATATGGAGACAAACAGCTCTTAGTCTGAGGTGTCGTAAGGGTGATGTCATATTTGTCTAGAGCAGGGGTAGGCAACCCCTGGCATGGGTGCCAGAGCATGGCATGTGAAGGCATTTTGCTTGGTACATGCACCTTGGGGCAAATGGCTGGGAAGGGGCCAGGGCTACACTATCACAACAAGGATCTGGCCCCTTGTGGCTCCCCTGCCATCCACCTGGCATGCCAATGTCTTACAAGTTGAGGTTGCAGGTATTTTTGGCACTCTGCCCAAAAATGTTGCTGACCCCTAGTTTAGATTGCCTAGTATTCAAGTATATGAATTATTATACATTCATCAAAAATGGATGGTGGGATGGAATAAGAAGAATATTTTCATTTAAAACCCAAAATACATGGCCATCCAGTGGGAATCCATGAACCTCAGGAGTGGAACAGTGCATTACAGAATGTCTGGCTAGAATTCAGAGCTCTTTTTCAAAGTCTGACTCTCCTGTGTAGCCACGCAGCGAAGAGAAAAATATTTCTTTAATTGGGGAGTAACGGTGCAGTGGTATGCTCTAGTGGCACCACAGTTATTGGTCTTAATATAGACACAGAAAACCTACTGCAAATTTCAAGAGCAGATCTGCCTTTTCATTGTTCCATCTTTAGTTTTCCCATGTGTTTTTGACATTCCTGGCTGAAATTCTTTTGAATACAAATTAGGTTTGATTAGCTTGGTTCAAAGTATTAACATAAAGTGCTCATGCATGCATGCTTACTTGTGTTCCCTGGTTGAGAATCACTAATTTAAAGAGACTATTTGAATTCTTCAAAATTATACCTTCTTGCAATTGAATAGGAGATATAAACCTGCTTCCCTTTTCATCTTGAATCTGGGCTGTAGTAACCAAGGCATCTGACTATACAGGTGGAAGAGATGCAACAAACATTAATTTTAAGAAAAAAAGTTTAGCATCCTGAAATGGTCAACTTTTGACAGCTGTTTACTGACAAAATAATGCATGGTAATTATATTTTATATATCATGATAAATGTCTGTAACCCAATAAAAAACCATATATAAAAACAAAATATGGTCATAGAGCAAGTGTGGTTACTTACTATCAGGTTGGGTCAGATGCTACCAGCTGTGCATTGAAACATGGAAAAAGGGGTGCTTGGCACTCTGTAGTCTCTGTTTTCTGTCACAAGCAAATAGTGTGTTGGCAAGGTTTCTTCCATTCTTGAAGAAATTGATCACTGTAGAATTATCTTCTCTGTCCTGAGGATTTAAAAAATGAGCATATATAATTACAACCTGCTTTGAGCATTTTATTACAATAAATAAATATCAGTGAAAGATCCAAAATTATTTAAGATTATGAAAATGTTGTGAATCTTATTTTGGTTAATAAGTGTAAAGATTTGGAGTTTCTCTTATTTTTTACAGTTATTAGCTTATTAATTTTTTCAATTCTTTTTTTCAATCAAAAGGAAGACAGGCAAGATGATAAAATGTATTAATTAGTCAGACCTGTCTCTTACTGTAAGAGCTAAAGTTAGACACGCTATGTATTTGGCTAAAAGTTTGTTAACCTATGTGCATTAGGTGAGGAGAATAGGAACATGCAGTTTCTAACATCCATAAAATGTGAAGAAATAATCTCTCTAGCCTTAAATCTACCCAAGTTATAATACAGACTTAACTAGCATGTAGCATTAAATGTACAAGCTCCTTTGCAATGCTAGGAGAGTATGATACTTACTTGTTTACCCAGGAGTCTTTCAGTTTTGGGAACGTATTTTCTCCAATTTTAAGATCTTGCTGCTTGATATTCAGCATGATTTCTTCAATGCATAGTACGCATCTGCCAAAATGGTTCCTTTGAACTCTGTTTTTGTTTAAAATTCTATCATTCATCATGGCCAGTAATGACTCTGGGTTACTCAGTAACCGCTGGTTACTAAGTAAACTCTTTCCTCCATTTACTTTTTAAATATTATTAGAATTGATGCAAATCTTTGCTTACCAAAAGAGATGTGCAAGTAAACTTAAATACCCTTTGTCTTATGTGACTCCTAAGTAAACCAAAACTAGATGAGACTGCTTTCACAAAATTTTCACTTTGAGGGAAGGGTTTTGTTTTATACTTTCTTAAGTTCAGTATCTAAGATGCGTCTAATCCAAGTCCACTATGGAACATATTTTCTGTTACTCTGTTTCTGCACTGAATTTGTGGCCAGTGGCACAAGATAAATGAATTCAAGCCAATCCTGTGAATCCCTAATTTTGGATCCGATACCTGGAACTACTTGGAGTAGCCCTAGGGCTGCTCTGAATCTGGCCAATTTGTCATTGACCTCCAATCAGAAGAGCCAGAGTGAGATTAATTGTGGTCTTAACTTATGTATTTGGGATATTTTGACTTAAATTGATTTTGTAGATTAGAATATTTCATGTAGATTTTTCAGTCCTTCACATCTCTTGTCTAATATATAGTTCAATTTTATAGTGACTTATTTTTTATACAATTGTGAACCTCCTTAGATCTAGAAATTAGGGAAATAACAGGCAATTTGATTTATTTTTATAGGGGAAAACAAAATATATTAGATACTTTACAGAATAAATCATAAGACATGGGATGGCCTTTACCCTAAATGGAATAATCTTTTAGATAAAAAAAACGTGCAAACGTAAGGCTGGAAAGGACCTCAGGAGGTAATTTAGTCTAGTCCCTTTCTCAGGACAGGTTCATTTATGTTTAAACCGTCTCAGACAAATGTTTATCATACCTTCACTTAATCTTCCAATGATGGAGATTCCATAGTTTCTCTGGTAATCTTGTCCAGGATTTAACTACTCCCAGAAGTAGAAAGTTCTTAATATTTGAACTCTTTCTTGTTGCAACTGAAGCTCATTATTTCTTGTCCTGTCCCTTGTGTACACAGAGAATGAATGATCACTGTCATCATCTTTATAACAGCTGTTTTTGTAATTGAAAATTGTTGCCAAATTTCCCCTCATATTTCTCTTCCCTGGACTAAATAATCCCAGTTCTTTCAACCTTTTCTTGTATGTCTTGTTTCCAGACTTCTAATTGTTGTTGTTGGAGAGGAATCAGAAGAGAGCAGTTTTCCATATCTTCCTTAACAAGGTGGCCAGAACTGGACCTTGTACTCTTGGTAGACTACTACTGAATAAAGCAGAAAAATCACTTTCCATGACATGTATGATACTCTGATGTTCTAATTCATCTCAGTAAGCTTCTAGCCCCCCCTGCAACAATATTATATTGTTGACTTCTTGTCAGCTTGTAGACCACTGTAAACCTCCAGTACCAGGCCCTTATTGAATTTCAGCATATTTACTTAATAAATTGTGAAATGATATTAAGTTTATTTTGAATCTTAATCGTGTTGTGTAAAGGGCCTGCTACCGTATCTAGCTTGGTGTCGTCTGCAAATCCTCCAAGTCATTAATGAACACACAAAACTATACCAGACCCAGGACAGACCTGTGGAGTGCCCTGCTTGGTTGTCTGCTGGAAGTTTGACATTGACATTGAGTCATTGAAGACTACTCTTAGAGCACAATGATCTATTCAGTTATGCACTAAACTTGGAGTATCATCTGGACAGTATTTCTTTTGCTTCCATATGAGGATGTTTTGGGAGATGGTGTCAAAAGCCTTTACTAAAGCCAGGGCATATTGCATCTGCTGCTCCTACTCTATCCTTCAGGCCTGTTACAGTCATTGAAATTGTATGAAGTGCAGCTGTGCCTAAGGGCGCTTGTCAGGGATAAAAGCCCATTGTGTACTGGGCACTGTACAAAGATGCAGTAAAAGGACAGTCTAGGCTCCAGATAAATGCAATCTAAATTATAACAAGATGCAACAGGTGGATGAGAGAAAAACCTGGTGAAGAGGGTGTGGTAACAGTGAAATTGTGAAGTTTACATGTGCAGTAAGCACACCATGTTCAGCTCCTTTATAGACAGCTATAGCAGAGAGAAATCATGAGGAAGCATTAGAAGGGATGTAAGTTAGCAAATCTGTGGATTGTTTCAGGGATTTCTGGCTCCTAAGACTGGTATGAGAGAGAGCATGGAGGTGTTTGAGGAAAAGGCTGTGTGGTAGATAACAAATGTGTGGGTAACAGAGTGAAGGTGGAGTTTAAAGTTGCAGTGAGATATTACCAGGGAGGCAGTAAACATAAAAGGCCTCAATGCTGAGGACAAGAAACTCAAGCTTGGTGCTCCAGAGAGGGGTGCCGTAAGAGGGAGTGCTTTGCTGAATGAGTTCTTCAGAGAGCTCAGGACCAATCTACAATCAGTTCCATCCAACCAACTTGGCCAGTATAAGGGTAGCCTAAGAAGTTGCATTTTCCTAAAAAGATTGTTCGTGTGTTTTAAATATAGGCTTTGGTAACTCCTAGGCTGTACCATAGAGTCTTAGGTTTGTGTATCCTTCTGTATGCATGTGGCTAACTGGCTATTCAGATGTTCCTTCAGCAAGACAAAGTTTTGATTTAGTACCTCTTGAGAACAGATTTCAGTTAGCAACGTGGAGAACGAAGAAAAGTTGGTTTTTTTTTTTTACTCCTCCACTTGGGAATCAACTAACCCCTAGTTTCTTATTTTGTCACAGCCAACATAAACCTTGAGTGATAAATAATTTCATACATTACTACACCTCTGTATTTGCATGTCCTTTTATTCAAGTAATAAGAGCCTTCATCGGCATATGCAAATGTATAAGGTGGTACAGCAATTGTGTGAATCCTCTTTTTCCGGTGCACCAATATGAGAGCAAACGATGATGCTTAAGGATAGACGGAATTCTTAACAGGATCCACCCTGCTCATTTTGGAGGTTGGTTGTATGGATTACAGGCCTACTACCTGTTCCTGTTGCAGCTTGTGCCACTGTGCTGCTTCTTCTGGTGGATATTCCGTTCAATTCAGTGAGCACTAAGATAGATGCTTTTTAGGACTACTGTGCTCTGATTATTTTTCATCCCTGATCTGCTCTTGCATGGTTTGTCTTTTGTGACTGATTGAGTACATCAGTACTATATAGATACAGTCTGCAGTGTGCTTCTCGCTTTTTTACTTCACATTTTTAGCATTCTTATGGACAGCTTTGGGAATGAGCTTTCTTAGCAGGTGTGAGTTGCGCAGAGCAGCCCTGCGTACATACATCATGGCAGGAGAGCTTGAGCAATGTACTGGTGCATCATACCAGCCTGCTCCCAAATCACTCATGCTGCCTGATCTGTTGGACACTTGCAGAATAGGTGAGTGGGTGGGGCTTATTTCTTAGTGGCAACCCTGGGCTTCTGCTGGAGGCGATACAGACAGCCCTGTTGGGCTGACCCATGGTAGTGTTCAGCAGTGTCTGAATTGTGGAGTATCTTGTTCCTTGAAGTGTGGGCTAACCATGACTACTACTTTATGCCCCACCCCCACTCTGTTTCTAATAAACACATTGACTAGTTGGTTCTCTGCAGATCATATACTTCCATCTTTTTCTCTCCAGGGTGTGTAGAAACTCTAGGTACTTTCCTCTTTTATTTGGAATGTGGTCACTGCTGTCAGATAATGAGTGAATGGATGCTTTTAGTTTGTTTCACTGTGCATCTCTGTGGTTACACTCACATCTTTTCTACTGCATGCAGGGGCAAGTAAAAATTTATGAGTGCACTTCTCTTCTGTACAGTCCTTGCATTTAGGGATATATCTCCCCGTTCCCAATCCCAGTTTTACGTGCCACTCTTCTTCCAAAAATAGCATTGGCTCAGAAACTGCATTGTTTAATTTGGATAGAGATAACTTAGGAGTGTATATATTATTTCTTTCCAATATTGGTTGTATTTTGCAGGAACCATTTTTATGATTTAGAAGTGGTAAAGTTTTACAAAATTATCTAAATTACTGTAGCCAGCAGTTCTGTTGCTAAATAAAGCAGTGAGCGAATTGCAAGGGATTCTTGATTAAATTCCAGATCTCTTTTCCAAATATTTGATAGAACCCATCCTAGTGATGATAAATAGGGGGAAGCAATACGCCAAAAGTATCATTCATACATATATACATAATATTATTTAACCATTTGGTACATGGTTTTCCAACCAGGCAAAATGAATTGAGTACCTTTCTGTCCTCGAGTCATAGCAGATGAGAAACAGGAGGTGATGGTAGTGTTTGCAGGGTTGGGGGCTGTGTGGGCACATGGAAGAGGAGGAAAGGAGGGCACCTCAGGTGTTGGCAACCCCAGGACACATCTGAGCAGCCATGGCTAACGGACTAAGTAGCCAGCTCAGTGTTGGATGGGAAGGGGCTCAAGGGGAAAACACTGAATATAGGCAGCCCCCACTTAACACTGTTTCGCTTAGCGCTATTTCACTATAACGCTCATTTAAAATTGATATCTGATTTCACTTAGCGCTCAGCGAGTTTCGTTGTAACACTCACAGTTGCCATCTTGGGTCATTAAAAACAATTGCGGTTGCCATCTTGGGTTGTCAAATACTTTCAGTTTTGCTTAATGCTCGTTTCGCTTAATGCTCGGTTTTTCAGGAACCAATTAAGAGCACTAAGTGGGGGTTGCCTGTACAGCTCAGGAGGGAGTTGTGCTGGGGATAGAGCAATGACTTTCTTTTCTGTGGACGTGCATCATGTATATTGCAATGAGAAAAGTGTCATGCTATATATCATTGTAAGAAAGACACATTGTTTTGTCCCCCACTGATTACTTAAATCTTATTTAAAATCCACAGGCCTTTATTCTTTATGCAATTTTTTTAGACCTCTGTTTTAAAGCCAGGATTATCTTTTTTTTTTTTTTTACTAACACAAGTAAAAGTGGCTCTTAACCTTTTTCCCTGT